GTTGTTTAAACTAGGAATAATTATTTTAGGATGTATTCCAGGGAGAAAATATATTTTGTTAAAATACCTCAAGTAATGTTTAATTATATCCTTTCTTCAAAAGACCTTAAATCTCTTTGGTACTAGTTATGGAAAAAAAATTCTAATTATTAGCTTGTTTTGGTATGTTCAGTGCTGAATGCAAACTGTTAGAACTGTCTTATTTTTATAGAACAGAAAGTTCCTAGCCCAGACACAGTCTTATCAACAGAATTTTTATTTAATGCAGATAACACACATGGGTATTGATGTGTGGCATTTGTAAATCCTTTAAAAATACAAGGAAGGCACTTGAATGAGGTGTTAAAGATTTCAACTTAGCAGGTTCTCTATGGTGGAGTATACCGAATGTAAATTGACTACAGTATTCCTAAAAAAGAAAAAAAATAAATTAAAACAAAAAAAAAAAAAAAAAAAACTAGCTTCTAATTTCACTGCAAATCTTTGGAAGTCAGCTGATTACACTTGAGTAGAGGGAGATGTTTCAAGGATGAGACTTGTCACTGACTTCAGTAGCCCTTGATTCAGGCCAGTAGTACATGGGAACATGCCGGGTGTTTGTGCTGGTGCCATTGCCTTCCCCGCAGCAGCGGTTCTGTCACACAGCACACACCCTCTGCAGCGTGACCCTGCCTTGCTCAGATGGAGGTGCCAAGGTGTACGTGAAGTGAACCTGTTCATTTATGTTTGTGCAAGGAACCAAGGAAAGATGGAAGTGCAAGGCAAGTTTAGTCCTGTTGCGTGAGTTTCAAACTTGTGCTGAAAACAGCGAGGCTTAACTTTTGTCGTCTTCTTTACAGTTTATGTGAGCTGGCATCATTAATGCCACTGACTTTAATGTATTAAATGAAAATGATTTGCAGAGACTGTCTCTCACAGGCAAATCATCTCAGTGCCAGCAAGGGCTTAACAACCAGTAGAAAAAATTTTATTTTTTAGAAGTAGTGGAACAATTCTTAGGGAAAAAAATAGCTTCTTAAATCCGGTATTAAATAAGCTAACTCTTTACTTTGATGATGACCTTCCTGTTCATACCGTCTGTGTCGTCTTTAAGCCATACATAAAAGACTTAAATTGAATTTAAAGGGCCTTTTACAAACTCATAATGCAAATTTCTTGTTTAAAATACTGTATGCAGATTTGTCCTGCAAGATTTGTTTCATTAACTAATGTAGTTATTCAGGAAAGGAAAATATGCTGTAGGAGAAACAGTATTCAATTCTAAGCAGATGGATTAATTTTATAACAACAATTAAAATCTGTTTTGAAAGTTCTAGAAAGGAAAGTGATAGCAAAACTATTTAGTATTTGTTTACAGAGCAAGCAGTGTTTTCAAGTACTCTGATGAACTCATACCAACATGCTTCTTAAATGACACTGTTTCTCAGAAGAGCCTTGATGAATTCCTACATCGGTTGTAATTACAATTCATGTCCCAGAGGCATTTAGAAGAAGGCAGTTGTCAAAAGCACATGTGAAATGTCTAAGAATGTATCAGGCAATGTTCATTACATTTTCTTCAGTTTGCTTATTTTGTTCATCTCACTGTAATAAAATGTAGATAAAAGCCTGTATCAAACTTTTTTTGTTTTATTTTTTTATTATTATCTTCTAAAGCCTTAACTGAAACTTTGTTTTTGACTTTCCATCCTTTTAGGTGTTGACTTAAATCTTCTGACGTGGCTGGTCCTTGTTTTGTTCTCCAGTGCCTTTAAAGTACTGAAACAAGGTACCTTATAACCTCCTTCCAGGTAGACTTCAGATTGCTCCCAGAGTGAGCCAGTAAGGGTCGGTTGTCCAGAATTACCTGTTTGCCAGTCAGACTGGACGTTTAATGTCTCTCTGTACAGCAGCCAGCTCTGAAATGGGGGAAGGTCAATGTGACCTCTTTACAGGTAGGTTTGGTGTAAAACTGGTGCTTCAGTGGAAACATGGAGCTCCACAGTTGCTGTGCAAAAGCAGAGATTCTGAATAGGTTCCCACAGCTCTTCCGCAGTCACCAGAAGGCATGGTGAAACCTACTTGGATAGTCATAAACGTTGTCAGAGGAAACAGGAACTGTCGGCAACGTGAAAACTTGAAGCAGAATGTACTTTCTAGAAAATTCTCTTTTTTTCAAGGCCACGAACTTTGTTACTCAAAGAAATCACCTATACAACAAGATGCAGTCCTATTGCAAAGTAAACCCAATATCAGCACAGCAAATATGGTGCCTCCTTTCTGTTAGCTGGCCTTCAGCTGGCTAATTTATCAGAATAAATAGTTCTGTGACTGTTAGAGTAGCTAAAGGTCACGATAATACAAAGAAATCAGAAAATAAAGCAGTCAAGTGCTGAAAATCAGAAGCCAAACACCCAGCTTGGTGTGTGTATGTGTAGTGAAGTACATGTGTCATGGCAGAAAACACAAATTGGTTGGTATTTGTGTGCCTGTGTTTACAGCACTTGCAGTTACTTCCTGTACCTGGTGGTGGTTGTATCAGCGTGAATTAGCTGAGAGAGAGTTCTTGCTCTAGCACAGGTTTTCACCCGTACACTGTACAGATATTTTTCCCAGTAAAGGGTTGTGAACAGGTTGGATTGCAAAGACCTTACCTTCCTGAAATAAGCTGCCTGGAGATGCAATTTGCTTCTATTGTAGCATTTGTTCAGGCCACGCGAGACCCTGCTACATACGGTGCTGAATGCCCCAAGGCTTACAATTCTCAGCCCCTCGTGCTGGCTTCCACAGTTTTTCCTGCTCATATTTACAACTCATCTGTAATTCCTGTCTCAAAATCAGCTGTATTTCAGTTCCACTCACAGGAGGAAACATTTTTAGTCGTTTGAATGCATGAGCCTGTCAAGAAAAATGAGCTACTTAATATTCCAACCTTGGGCTGGCCATGAGTGGTATCATTGCTGCCTAACAATAAGTGGTTGTTTAGTCTGTTTTGCAGGCATTCTTTTACTGTCTCTGCTCAGGGAATGTAATGCCTGAGAACAAGGTCAGCTGAGAATGAAGCGGCATAAAGGAGCTTGATTCCAAACATCAGGGCAGAGCTGGGGTAAATCACTGCCCAGCTGGAACAGCACTTAGTTAAATGCATCCCTTGTATAAAAAGGTGAGGGTTGTAGACTCTTAAGAGCTATCTTAAGAGGAATTCCAGGCCTTGAGACTTAATTAAATCTTCAGTTGTAAGGACATTCTGACTAAAGGAAGTTTGGTGCTGACACTCAAAAGCTGTAACCAGGGGTAGGTTGCTGGGGCTGTAAGTGTTGTGGAGAGAATCCAGTTCAGTGCTGGGTCATTAATTTCACTCTCCCTTAGGGTAACATACTGTGGACCTGCCTGGTCTTTAACTCTGCGCTTGGACCAACTGCAAGAGCTGGGTAGACTTGAGAGAAGAATTATGGTGCTTGTTTGATAGCAAGGTTGTAAACATGTTTAAAAGGCCAGTTGAAGGCTTAGATTTCAGGAGTACAGTTGTGGAGCTTTTTAGTGGTCTCTGTTTGGAGTGGAAGAAGTCCCATTTATTCTTGTCTAGTCGAACCTGAAATCTTTATATTTGTCATTCTAGTACAAGATTGTTTTCTGTGTGTCCAGGGCAGCTGACAATGCTGCAAAATTACTGTCACTGTAGTCAAAGCGGTGCCATCAACTAGTGAAAGTGGCTGTGGACCAGAAGGGTCCTGAATATGAGAACTCCTTTTAAAATGCGGTATTCCTCTTCCTCTCCAGAAAATGCATTTTTAGCTGAATGTGAGAGGGGTTGGATCCAGTCCACTCCAGGTCTCATCATCCAGGGATTAAAACAGAGAGAGAAAGCATGTATGTGGCCCCTGAGGCAGGATTAGCAAACTAAAGTATTTCTGGAATTAGGTTTTTTTTTTCTGAAGCAATAGCATGGGTGCTGGTTTTTTTTCAATTGGCATGTTAATGAAAAGTAGGAAAAAGTAATGAAAAAGAAGTAATAGGAAAATGAGAAAGAAGTAAGAAATTCTTTGAAAATATACTTGTGACAAAGTAACATTTGGCTGCTCCTAACAGCATCGGTTTAAGGGAGAAGAGCATGCACTTTTGAAAGCTGTAAATCTTAATTATGCTCTACAACTTTGCAACTCTCCTTTAACTTGCCTTACCCCCGCTAGTGCACACACTTTACAGCAACCTTTCCTTTGAGAAAGCAAAGAGGCTTTGCATCTATTCCCACCCTCCCTGCAGGATGAGAACAGATTGCCTCCAAAGCTGTGCCAAGCTCAGAGAGACGCTGTTCCATAGGCCTCCGGGAGAGGCCTGATGCTGCGTAGGGCTCTGGGAGAAAATCACGTGGCTGCTGGGAACCCGTGCCTGGCGTCACTGCAGTGAGGCCATTAGCTGGTTATGTAAACAGACCATGCCTGCCACTCATTAAATAGCAACAGGGAAAAGCAAGGACATTCATATTTCAGCTGCTGCCAAGGGGATATAACTGTAGAGTACTCTGAGAAAATTACAGCTGGGAAAGAGAAGTTACAGCCTGAAGCACAAATATGTAAGTCACACAGTGAATGCAGTGCAGGCATTATATGTAAAGAGCACAGGCTGGATAGTGTTAAATCTTACACAAACTCCCCACAGCTCTTGCTTTGGTTGTGAGGATCAGTTTCTGTGCCAGCAGAAAACAAAATTAAGTGCTTTACCAAAACCGCTGATCAGACAAGCAGCATGTTAGAACATAAATATTCACGAATGTTTCAAGGGCCAAAGCAGCAGCTACAGTCTAAATACTTTAACAAGATAAAAGGGAGGTTGTATATGAATCCAAGGCTCCCTGATGAGTTTGTAATCCTATTAGAATGAAACAAAGCCATCAGTCATCAGCTTTGTGCTGAAATGTCCATGTTTGTTATGCTGTCCATCAATTCACCAGTGGATTTGTTGTATTACAAAAAAAAAAAAAAAAAAAAAAAAAAAAAAAAAAAAAAAAAAAAAAAAAAATAGTAGAATGAGCTATTTTTTGCTTATATAATGATCTGTAAATCTCAGTACAGCTTCATACGTTACAAACACTACCATGTTCACAGGAAAGGCACGAATGCAGTTTAAACCCAGTCCTTTGAAAAGCACTTTTGCACCCTCCTTTTTCACACTTTCCCTAACACAGTGAATCAGGCCTTTGTACTTGTGCTGGTCCGATTCATCTATTTGCATCCGTGATTTGATGACATCCATGGGAGTAGCTAATCCCCAGGCCAGGACTCCAGCAAAACCACCAGAAAGCAGCACAACAAGGAAACCTGCAGGAGAGAGTGAAGGGAGGAGCAGTTCACTTGAGTTTCACATATCTACAAGCATCTCAGATTTGTCAATGAACTTGGGTAAATTTCATGGTGTTTTCAGAAGTTATTTTGTCCAGCTCTTGCATTTGTGTGTTTTCAGTGATCACACAAAATACTCGTTTTTGCACATGTGACTCTTTGAACACCACACGAACTAGACGTGGTACAGCTCGAGAGCACTTACACCCTCTTCAGATGGATCTACTTCTTTTTATAATTCTCAGGGAGATGGTCTTTGCTGAATGTTACCTATTCAATCTTTTCTCAAAGAGGATAGTTGCTTTTTGGAGCTAAATCGCAACTAAGAACCTGAAATAAGTCTTTATGTTCTGCAACTGGACTTTATTTTCAAGCTCTGGACTGACCCTTATCTATGCTCCATGATGGCTCCCAGGAGGCTTGTCTATGTTTCATTTCTAGTTACATATCCTGCTTCTGCATTAACAGGATTTCATATCCACATATGAGACACCAGAGCATGCTGTAAAAATCCCTTCTGCAGAAAGAGGAGTAGCTGCTCAGGGACAAGGATGTGCCAGTGAAGCCCTCACAGGGAGGCTGCTGGCACCCATACCTGGGGCCCAAAACCAGCCCTGCAGCACCAGAAAACACACACACAGCAACTCTGCTTGAGGATCAGATCTGGGTGAGGTTTTATAGGTACTGGATGATGTTTGCCAAGAGTCATTTCCCTCTTAGTGTGGTATTAAATAAGCCATTTTTCAGGTAGTGCCAGATGCTCTCCAATACCTACCTGGTTTATTTTTCCCAGCTGGTGTGAGCCAGTCACACAGAGCAGAATAGGAAAGGAAATATACTGCAGAAGCAGAGCAATCCCTGCAGAGTAATGCAGAGCAGCCCTTGTAGAGACCCCCAAAACCTTCCTCCTTGGTGATCACCTTCAGACAGTGCAGAGACCCTTGGTACTTGGGTTTGGAGACAGTCTGAGATGTGACAGAAGGATGTGGGTTTCTCTGAGTCTGCATCCGAACTTTAGCCACTTCACTAGGATTTGTCAACACAACCTGTAACATAAGAAGGTGGTGCTTTAACCCTTCACGTTTAAACAGTGTATTGATCCCCCTCCTGAAAACTTGTTGTCTCCCAACGTTTCAGGCAGTAATATTGCCTGCAAGTTCTGGCAAGTTCCAGCCTCCTCCCCTCTACCTGTGCCATTCCACTCAGCAGGTGGAATGTATGCAGCAGGACACATGTATGAGCTGCACTGGGCAGAGTGGAAGGCAAGGCAGAAATCAACAAAGGATATAAAATACCTATAACTATTTGCTAAACCAGATGGGCATGAAAAGGGTATGTCCTCTGCTATGGGGAAGAAGCATATATCAGGGCTTCTGTTTGTATATGCATTTGAACCAAGACCATAAAGACTTTAAAAAAATTAGCCTGTGCTGAGTCACTGACTGCTAGGAAACACCTAGAAACTTTACTATCCAGACTGCTCTGTAAGAGGATTGTGACCCAGCACATGTTTCTGCCCAGCATGCCATTGGCATGATGGGGTGAGCTCTACCAGATTCACAGCACCTTTGGATGCTCACAGAGATCCATCTGCTTGCGGGAAACTACTCCTGGATTCAACCTTACCTCCCCATCCCAGGATCATACACGTTTGCCAGGCAGCATCACTTCTCAGTGGTGCCCTGTTGAGTTTTAAGTCCTGGCAAGGCAACACTGTGCACTGCCCATTTCTGCAGCAATACCATGCCGGGCTTGTACAGCTGCTGGGAAAGGATCGACCTGTGCTTTAACTCAGAGTTATCTCTTCTTTGCATAAACACACCATCAGAGCCACTTGGGGAGTTTACTGCCTAAGTTGTTTTCTCTTCCTTGTTCTGTGTTTGCTGCCATGGTCCATATCATTCTAAGAGCGTGTTCTCAAGTATTTTGATCCTCTAAACCAAACCCAGCATCAGCTGCCCAGCAGGACTCGGCCATCCCACGGCCATCCCAACCAGTGAGGGGGCAGCGCGGGCAAAGCATGACCTCCCCTGCAAAAACAAACCCACCAGACTTGTTGCATATTCCCCTGTGGCCTCACTGACCAAAAACATTCCCAGCTTTTCCAGCCTCCTATGTTTGTGAACAAGATCTCTTGTTGTGCTTTCCCTGGTGGCTGTTTACCTACCCGGACGGCACCAGCAACAGCTCCGGCAAGGGAAACATCCAGCTTGGAAGGCTTTGCATCTGCAGCCCCATATCGCAGTTTGCAGATTGTACAGAGGAAGTTCTTGTATGTGCCAAAGGAAACAGAAGAAACTGCTGATACGGCAAGGACTGATGCAGACACACCTTTGTAAAATCCCCAAATCTAGTGGGAAACAGAGGAGAAAAAACTTTTAAGAGTGAATGGCACAGAAAGGCATTTGCTTGAAAGCACTGGCCTGTGAGAAACTGCTTCTGAGTTCAGCCTCACCTCCCTGTTTGCCTCACCTGCATTTTTGCCAGGCAGCATCATTTCTGTCTTACAGCTCGTCAGCAGAGCTAAATTTCACCCTCTCCCAACAAATGGTTGTGTGCAGCTGGTGCCCACACTCCCCAAACTGACAGAAGCAGCTCTGCTTCCCCGAAACAAGGCATCCACAATGGGTATGAGCAATTCTGATGAGAGGTACCTACTTTTTCTGTCCTGTATGTTTCTTGAACACAGTGCCAAAACCCTCTGTAATGCTTCTCAGTCTGAATTCTCACCTAGGAATACAGGAGCAACTTTAAAATGCAGGTATCAGATTAGATAGAAAAAAAAAAAAATTAACAGGTGCCATAGCAGCAAACCAGAAATTAATCATAAAAGAGCATCACCAAAAAAAATTTTTTTTTTGAAGGAGACAACACAACCAAATACAGTGAAATATGTAGATATAATGAAGATAAAGCATTCTCATGGGACTACTTTTCTGGAAAGGAGGGGGAAAGCAAAATGGCCTATTGGTTTTTGTTCTATAGTCAAGAAATAAAGCTCCAACAGGTACCTTCACTGTGTCCAGTGGATAACCCACAGCTGTGCTTAGGCCACCTGGAACAGAGAATGTGTTGGAGACAAGTTACAACACGTCACGGCAGAAATTGTTCACATATCACAGAAGGGCATGGGGAAATAGCAGAAAACAGGGCCTCAGAGCCCTGCCATACTTGGCACCAAACCTCTCTGGAGCTTCAGTAATGACATTTGAGCCAAGAGTGACAGAGAAAAACATGCACATTCCTCTGTGTTACCAAGACACACACAGAGAAGGAATCATAACATCATGAGAAACTTACCATGGAGGAATAACACCACAGTGCAAGATGGGATGGGGAGAAACACTGAGAGCAGTGCAACAGGAACATTGAAGGGATGATATCGGACTGGTTTTTTACTCCTCTCAGCTTAGGCAGTAAAGTATTTTTGGACTATGACCAAGCACCCTCATGTGTGGTGTAAGCATCCCCACTCACATAAGTGAGTCTCTGGAGCAATTTTGGTTCTCTGTGCTTGACTTGGGAATATTAAGGAATAAAAATAGCGCTCACAAGGATATCTGTAAGAGTGGTCCTCACACGTTACAGGTTCTCAGCAATCTGTCTTGAAGACAGGAGAGGTGCTCCTGCTGTCTCCAGGGACTAACATGTCCTGGCTGAAGCTTACAAAGCACATCTACATGGGTGAGGAATTATTGAGGCATTTACATCCACACCACCATGCTGGACTAAGCCTTTGAAGTGCATTTCCTGCCTGCACCAAGCACTGCTACAAAATCAGGGGAAGGAGCGAAAGCACAGGAATCTTTGAGTCCTGGCAGGCTGCTGTGATGCTGGAGCGTGGCACAAGCAGCAGTGCTGCTCTGCAGTGAGACCACCCTTCTGCTGCCCCTCGGGGCACAGCAGGATTTGGGAGAAGCGAGGGATTAGCACTGGGTGTGCTCCAAGCCAGGGCTCCACAGTCCTCCCCACACACCAGCTGACTGTGACTCCCTTTCTGCTGCTGTGACGGCATGTCCAGAGTGTGGGGGGAGCTCCCAATCCTCTCTCAATGCCCAGGCTCACTCAAAAACCTTAAAATAGCCGCTGGAGTTAGAAATGTAATAATCCTATGGGACAGTTACTACCTTAATGTCATGCAATGAGGGCTAAAGAGCTCCAACAAGAATTTCTGTTGGTTGCAGTAACAAATAGATCTGCCTGTCCTCACCTCACTGCATTTCCCAACTCTGATATAAATGCTGGCAGATACAGCAAGTGACAAAGGTGCTGACCAGCTAACTTCCTCCCAGTACATCTACTGCCAAATTACCTGAGAGGAAATCAGCCTGGAGGATCATGGAGCTGTATCCATGTGAGTTATTTAGACCGAGTTCATACAAGTGCTGGATGAGCCCTTCAGGGAGCCAGGCAGTCAGAGGTACAGGGCATATCTGGTGGCTCACAGGTTGGAAACTGACTCTCATTGAGTCCTTCTTTAAAAAAAACCACTTTAAAACCAAGCTGTTTAAATATGTATTAGTTGTTGTGGGCATGTTCACCTGTGATTACATGGCTGCTTGGGAGCTCTGGAAAGCTCTCCTATGTTCTGCAGAAAAGCAGCAGCTGCTGCTGTGATTCACCAGGAGACAATCCCAAAGTGTGTTACTCAGAAGAAAACAACCAACAGCATCTTGCTTGCAGAAAAATGAGGTTTGTTCCTCAAAAATATCTATCGAATCTGGCATCAGCTAAACAGAAATTAGGGTGAAAAATGGGACAAGATGGAAGAGATAGAAGGATGGAAGAGTGAGGGCAATATTATGGCTTGAAGAAGCAATGCCTTTGGTCCAAGCAGAGCGTGATGATGCACAAAGTCATTTGGGGACACCTGCGTTGTCCTGGCCACCAGCCAGAGTAAACATGGACACTGCCAGACAGAGAAGAGCAACATGTAAGTCAATGCCAAGTGGACAGTGCTGACCTCAGAGCTGGGGTCTCCTGTCCCAGGAACCCCATCCCACCTGGGAGGATTTGCCATCACATCGATTTCAGAATTCCTGAACCTTAGAGGCAGTGGCCATCGGCTGATCGGATGCTAGTGACGCAGCGGGGGCAGCACGCACAGATAAGTCCTGGCTTGCTCCACCAGCTCAGGAAGGTAGGAGCTCATGCAGATCACATACCAAGGCTCATTTGGTTCAGTGTTTGACAAGAACTGACCTCTCTTCTGGAAAAATGTCCCTGGTCACACATTTAGATGCAAAGTCAACAGCATAGCAGATTGCCCCAAAACAGAGTGTTTCCCACAGTATTTCAATCCTAAGGGCTCCCAATCAACTTGATTCCAGCAAGGACCAAGCATCTCCACTTGGGAGGTGGCAATAATGGTAAATTTTTCACTGCTCCCACCAGGTATGTGAATCCCCCAAACCTCCAAATAAACACAGCCTACCATGAAGTGCACTCCTTAGGAGCCAAAGCAGTTGTCAGAACTGAGGAGCTCAGCCAAGTCCATCAAAGGCTGAGGAAGAAGGGTACAGTCACACAATATAAATAGCCTGGGACTAAGATAGCATGACCCACACATGCCCTGTTAGCACAGCAGAATCTAAGAAGATCAGCAATGTATAGCATGCCTACAGGAGAGGGTTCCTGTGGGAGTCCTGCTGAGTAACACTGCATCAGCTGTGACAAAAATAAATAGCAAAACCAGCTGAATGACTTTTTTTGATTTTAGCGAGCCATTCTTAATGCCTGCTTTATCTGAGATATTCCCAGGTATTGTGCAGAGGTTGCGGCATTGCCTCCTACACACACACACAGAGTGCAGGTACAAAATGGATTACCCACAGTCTCTTCACAAGTCAGGGCACTCTGACCAGACAATTCAAATAAGAAGGGATGCTGGTGGGGTGACAATCACCAGAGAGCAAGCTGTATGGAGCCTGCATAGGTTGCAGGATGCAACAGGTCTGAGCTGTTGACAAACTCTTGGCTGGGGGACCCAGGGAGAAGCAGGCATGATTGTCTATACACTGGGTGAGTAGACAACAACTTCTGAAGACCTTTGTTTTGTGCAGTTCACATCCCCAAAATCAGCTGTGCTTTATTCAGTAATGTGACCCTGGCAGTGGTCTGCAGGAGCTGCTTTATCTGTGAGAACAAGTTGACAGCATGTTCCTTTTGTAGAGGGACTATTTTATCTACCCCTGGAGTGTCTGTGACCTCACAGTTGTGGAAAAGCCCAGGCATGCTGCAGACCCTGCTGCTCTATCCCTTCTGGGTTAATCTCAGCCTCCCCTTCCCAAATCTGGTGTAAGAGTCAAGTCATCCCCCAGCCATCAATAGCCCTAATTATCAATCCCCATCCCCTGCCATGGCCCAGGTTGCTGCTGTAGCAGGGCTGGAAAGCATACATGGGATCACAGGAAAATTCAAGTTGGAAATGACCTCAGGAGGTCTCTAGTCCAACCTCCTGCTCAGATTTACTGGCCAGGAAAGACATCCTTACTGATGAGCTACTTCCCAAATCATCCAGCCACATTTTGTGGTTATTGAAAGTCTTCACAGTCATTAAACATGTTTCTGTCATGTTTTTTTCCATCTGGAGTCACAGCAGATCACTGTTTCCTGGGTTGAAGATAATGAGCTTACCCCATGGCCACAGAAGCCATAGCCCAGAGGAGACGCACAGTATCTGCAGCTGCCTGAGGCAGCCTGAGGATGGAATTCAAATGGGCAGCACTTCTGCTGTTTTTCAGATGTGCTTAATCCATGCTTTCTCCAAAACACTCTGAAAACAGATCAAGGTTACAAGAATGTAATTTACTAAACAGAAATTCTGTTGTTTTTTTATGTTGCCTCTTGAGTTATTTGATGCTCTTCAGATGGGTTTGTAGCCTCCTTAGGAACATGAACACTGCTTCAGCTCCAACAAACATAAGTCAAGAAATAAGCTCAGCACCAAAAACCATCCAGTTCCTGCAGAAAAGCTGTCCCATCCTGGTAGCTGTCCCATGCAAGGTCTTTTCCAAGGAGGGTCTCTCAACACCCCAGGAAAACCAACACTGCAAGAAACAGGCACATCCTGGTCCAGCTGGATATTGCTGAGATGCCAAACCTTGCCTCACTTGCACATTTTTCATGATGAGCAATTAAAGGGTGCAGGGTAAAATTTATCATGGCCCTCCCCAGGACAAGCACACCTGCAGTGGTTCCACAGAGCACTCCTGGTGAGGGAAAATGTTAAATTTCAGCAAATCTCAAAATGAGAACTGATGTGCAGGCTTGGGCTGGATATCTCAGCCACCTGGCAGGTTTACCCAGCTTTTCTGTCAGTGGTGAGACCCCAAGGCTTTTCTCTTGCTGTTTATTGGTACATGTTATCTTGGATACTCCACTAAATCTGACAAGATCTAAGCAAAGAAATTAGACTGATGCATATATTTTGTTGTTTAATACACAGCTAGGTTTGAGCAGTACATGCTCTAAAAATGTCTAGAATTTAATCACACTTCTCTCCTGTTACTTTTTTTATATACAGCTAACCTACTTTCTCCCAGATCAGAGCCTGCTATGTAGCACGCCTGCGCTGACATCACCCTCACAACTGCAAATTTATCTTAACCTCACATAATGCAAAGATCATTCATTCAGACATTCTTCACTGCAACAACACGATGCTTCCTCCCCTCCTGTCTCACAGATCACTTCCTCAGCCCCCCAGAGCCACAATTCCAGGAGGTTGCTGGGACCCCCAGACACCAGGCACGTGAGGGTTTGCTGTCCAGGCAGTATGAGCCAGTTTGTATCTGCACACAAGGTATTACAGTCTGTCTCTTCCTATTAGAGTTTTACCGTGTCCTGCTGCAATCAGACCAGAGGAGATTGCAAGCAGTGACCTCAGATGACCTAGCTGCAGGACTGCCTCTCCAGCAGTTCTGTGAACCTGCTCCGATGACATTTTCCATTTAATAAGGAAGAACACACTGTTAGCAAGCAGCCCCCATTGAAAGACTCTCAACTCTGATATTGAGACTTTGCTCTTTAGCTGAACAAGAGGGAAACACAGCAATCTGCTCTCATCAACAAGCACTAATTTATGTATTTACCTCCAATGGCTCCAGCAATGAAATCCATCCAGAGTGTGTCTGCAGCCTTAATCACCCTCAAGTAGTGTTAGGGAGGTAGAAAGAAGGAGTTCTGTCTTCCCAGAGCCCTACAGATCCTTCAGAGACTGTGATTTGCAATATGAATAACTTTCCTACAGTCTTCTCTTGCCTCTGGGGATTGTGAGCCTTGTGGATACTCGATGAATCTGTACACTGGAGGCAGAGCCGGGTAGCCTGGAACTGATCCAGGAACACAGTGAATAAGTAATCCCATGAAGCCCTGAAATGCTGTGCCAAAGCTGCTGTTCCCAGTGCCCTTCTGCTTGGAAAGTCACGAGGGGTGGTGACTGGCAGGGTAACGCTGGCTGTGAAGGGGCCATTCCCCTCTGTACTTATTAGCTCCAGAAGACAGCTTTGCACACTTATTTGCCACAGGACATTCTTGCCCTGCACCACAGAGAATTTCATGACACCCTTTGCATCAATGAAAATTCCTTGTGCCTTTCCCAAGCAATTTTTCTTGACTTTCCTAACCCATGAAGCTGATCCCAAACCTCTAACCAGATCCTCATGGATTATTACCTGCTCATTATGTACACGTGTCATGAAGACCAGAAATTAATCCAACCACATCCAGAGTATTTGCTTCTATTTCAGACAACAGCATAATTTTCCCAGCCCCTGGAGCAGCTCTGCTTCTTCACTTCCTGCTCAGTTTTCCAATCCCCTTCCAATGTCAGCTCCTTGCTGACTTCAGTGGCAGAGCAGGAATCATGACTGCTGCTGACCACCCTCCAGCGGTTTGCCCTGATGGGGTGATACCTCTAGCAGGACAATATGAATGCCACTGGCTGTCTCTCTTAATCATGGACCCATTTCCAAAAACCAACAAAATAGAACCGGAGTCCTATTCAATTATTGCTGGCTGCAGTAGGACAGCAGCCAGCCTGCTTTGAACACTCCAGTTTTCTCAAAGTAAATGCTTCGGGCCTTGTGGGACACTCAGCCAAGAGCATCAAGGGGGCTCCGAGAGGCAGGGGCTGGGACAGGAGGTGGCTCACCCCACGGCAGACCGCCTGACCCGCGTTCAGCTGCTGTTCATGTGGAACCCTGCTGCACTTCAGCCTTCAAAGCTCTCCTTTCAATATTTTCTACTACCACCGAGATCTGCACCTGCAGCAGCTCTGCCCAGGCCTGTGCCCCAGACTCCAAGGCTCACAGCTGCGGCCCTTCTGCTTCTCACGGCCCGGCCCCCACAGCCTTCGCCCTGCTGGCAGCAGTCGGGTGTGGGCCCAATGCTCCAGTGCCATCCATTTCCAGGGCTAGCTGATTCAGCAGGTGAGTTGTTACACACTCCTTAGTGGATTCCGACTTCCATGGCCACTGTCGTGCTCGGCCTCGGGAGCAGACACGTTCTCAGCTGGTGGTTCAGCTGGCTTCTTTGCTGTCTTGTGGTTTAGGGTTCTCCAGCCGTCTACATCTGTAGCTGAAGTTATGGCAGTACCTACATTGAGGTGGTTGCTGACTTTGGGTCTCATCCCCTTGGTTCTCCTTACCTTCTTCATTCCCAACCTCTCTAGGTTGTCTTTGACGAGGAGAACCCCCACTAAACCATGATCTGCTATCCCAGTGCGTGCTCTGCCTGACTGGTCTGCCGTCTCCTGCACCCTGGTTGTCAGCACCCTCCACTACCTCTCCCCGTATGGGAGGGTTGGAATATTGTGGATAATGCCCATGGGACCTACTCATATAGTAAGGTGGGTGCCACCACGTGCAATAGGGACAGCGTTGCTGGGGAGATGGGAGATGGATTTTGCCAGGAAACTAGTCCAGAACCTATTTTTTAACTTCCCAATATGCCTCCAGCGCAGGGTGGTGAACTCATAAGGGGAAAGAAGAAAGAACAGAGAAAGATCTACTGGTCAAAGGGAACTAAGAGCTCAAGAAAATGTCATATTGCATATTTTTGCACAACAGTCCCATTAGCAAAGAGTGCCACATCTGTGCGTGAGAGGTTAATCTTTGTCCAGAGTGAACCTGAAAACCAAAGTCCTGATGCAGTGAAGGGCTTGCCAAGCTGTGACCTGAATTGTACTCCCCTTGAAGAGGTTTCCCCGGGTCAGAGCCAAGGCACATTGGCAGCAAAGGGAAAAGAAAATTTCGTGGCTGCTGCCCCTCTGGGATCGGCTTTACAGGGGAGCTGAGGACTTCAGTACCCAGTGCTGTTTCCTGCACATTTCACAAGAACCTATTGCTCACTGAAGTTCCTGTTTTGGGTCTGATGTGCCAGTGACATATAGCACAGGTTGGTGTGAGGGCTCAGAGTTTCTGGGAATTGAAAATGAAAGGATTTTTATCAATTGCTTCCCCCTTATTTCCTATGCTTTATTCCCTGAATGTTTTCTGCACTGGAGAGAACAGATTATTCCAGTGTAACATCCTGCAAGGGCAGCAAATACTTGAAACCAGAAGTAAAATATTATCTAGAGAGACAGCAATGTAGCAGCTAAAACACACTGGGTTATTCAGTAGCTCTTCCTTGTTACACCTGGTGTCCGTAGGGGGGTTATTAATGGTTCATCAACAGTCTGCACATGCCAACTGTGGAGAAAGGTGCTGTTTCCTCTTCCCCCATCATCCATTTCTGCCTCTGACCTTGCAGGATCCCTCCAGCAGTGGAGCCAGGAGTGGAACCTGCTGTGTTGGTGACACAGAGGGACAAGACACAGTCCTCTGTGGAAGGGCAGCCCTGGAGCCTACAGCCTCCTGGTTCCTGCAGGGATCAGGCAACCTGCTGACCTGCTTCATCCCAGGCTGCCGCAGCCATAGCCACCACTGCTGGGACACCACTCTTCGGTATTGTTCTTCTGGGAGCTGCTTCCAGGCAAAGTGACAAGATTCACTGTATTCTCAAAATGAAAGTCACACCGTGGATGAGGGTGTCACGTGGGGGGAAATTTTTCTACGTATTGCAGTAAGTGCTACCAGCAAAAAAATAGAGTCTGGCTGTCATGTCCTACTGGCTAACTAAAGCAGCAGGGCTAGTAAGTATTTCAAATGAAATATCACAAGATCAAACAAAATTCCTACCTTTTTTAGCTGAGCTGAACAGCTTAAAAGGAATCTTCTTCATGAATTTTTTGAGACTGTTAAAAAAAAAAAAAAAAAAAAAGGCAACCCAAACTCCCCACTTAGCACCAGAAAAGTAATCCTGTATTTATTATTTTAACCTCCTTTCACAATAACTTTTCTCAAAATGTTAGTTTGCTTTATACAGCAGAAGGCTGACTCAAGGTTCAAACATTTTGATAACCTTCTGATAATGGTTTTGGTCTCTTCAATAAGGTATACTGGCTTTTCTATGTCGCTGGAGTTCCTCTGCAAACAGAGGTCATTCGGAAGGCACCTATCTGAAAGAAGAATATTTTGGGGCTTGAAACGTTTCACCTTGTCCCATGAAGCCGTCTCTGGAGGAATGCACACCACTGCTTTAGGGACTTCTGCCCCAAAGGGGGCTTAGCAGACTAGCATGGGCTCCAAGCAACACAGATGCCACTGTAGTGGTTTCTAGTTCTTTGCTACTGATGTTTGGTCAGGACATAGGGGAAAATAGGATCCACTGCCACACTCAGCCCAGTCATCATGTGATGGCAGCAAGGCAAGAGCCATCTGGAAGATGAGACCCACACAAGTTCAAGTATTCACACAAGAGTACGTACTGAGGAAAGTGTAATTCTGCATGAAGGAAACCCCACGTGAGAAATAAAGCCTGTGTTACTATGTTTGCTGTTACTTTCTGGCACACTCCAGACAGCACAGACCAACTCCATTCTGAAGAGAGTGACACTCAAGGCAGCAATTCAGCCTCCCTTACCAGGAGTACTCCCAGAGACATGTAGTCATTGAGGTCTCATTTTTCTTCACACTTTGCTGAAGGAGTTTTCTCCTTCATCCCCCTTCCCTAGGTTTCAGAGATATGCCATTAACTTACCAGAATCTCAGCCCTGTAATGCTACAGGTCAATTGAGACAATAAAAGAATCCATCCCAAAGAGATTTTGAGTTCTAAGGAAGATATTGATGAAATGTGAGTCCTTCCTGTCACCCTTTGACACAATGCCCAAGGACTCTAGATCCAGAGATCACTGCTAGCCCAGCTTGCAAATAAGCACCATCTATGCACTAGTGAGAGAAAGTGCCTGGTCTCAACCCAGGTGATCTTCTCAAAGCATACCCTAGGAAATGACACAGAAAATGCATGCTTTGAGCCTCCACAGGGATAGCATTCCACAAGAAATAACTCACAAGTCCTTTTGTCCAGTAACAAACTGTTTAAGAGTGATTTTTTCTGAATGGGTGAACTTCACAGGTATTTTGAGAAAGCAGAGCATGGAAGGTGCTGTCAGAGAAAAAGACAGATCTCACTGTATGAAGCAATCTGCAGGAAATGACACTGAGTGATAAAAATTGAGGAAGGCCTTAATTTTGCACAGTGTGTGATGGATAAAACACTCCATTTGCTTCACAGGAGGAGGCAGCTGTCTGCCCACCCAGGCAGAGAGAAATGCTCTGTAGTAAAGTGGCATTGGGTCCAGAGGGCTGGTACAAGTGATGGAGCAAAAGGAAAGATGAAGAGGGAGACTTTAGGTAGGTGATCAGTGTTAAATGGCATCATTTAGATGAGACAAAACAGCAGGGGCATCCCCTTATCCCTCTTCTTCCACATCTCATTCCCAGGATATTACCAACTCCATCCATCCTGCAAAGCAAAAGAGAAGCCTGTCCTCTTTTGACTCTGCAACCACCTGCTGGCTTGTCATTCCAGATTTGCCGAGAAAACAATCCTTCCTCGTTTCCTGCCATAACATTCTGCATTTTCTATCCCACTAGCACTAGGCTATATCACACTCACATGCATCACCATTCATTTCGATCCAATTTATTTTGGAAAAATCCTTGACCGAAGAGACCGTTCAAATAGCATTACCCTCCTATGTCACCAGGCTGTTTGCACATTGCAGAACAGGAAAGAGTGACACCAGCAATGCTGAGCTGGCAGAGCCTGGCACTTGGCTTGAGTGGTAAGGGGTGGAAGCAGGGGCGGAGCCTCCTGGCTCCAGCTGTGTTACGGATTTTCAAATCAAAGCAGCTCATTGTCCTTTCTCTCAGGTACCAATGAAAAAACAAGAATTGCACAGACTTAAGCACTTGCAGCAGGAATTTCACAGAGAAACAAACAGAAGCAGTAAGGAAACCACTCTGAGCATTGACAACAGCATCAGCTTTAGCCAGGTGTAACAATCAGTGATTTCACCTCTGGAAAGCTGACATAAGGTTGTAATGTTTCTACATGCATTCCCAAGGGAAAGGAAAATAATACATTTCCAAGATGCCTGAAAATTATACCAGTAATTTAAGAAGTGACAGATTTTCTGGCTTGGGGCAGGTCACTCAATCTCCCTATACCTAATCTTCTCATCAGTACAACCAGCATGTTCACTGCCATGAAGCCATTGCAAGGATCCAGACACTTCTCAGAGAGCCACAAGCCTCTATTCAGGAGTAAATCACAGGAAAATGTGGAATTAGCAACACTAGCACCCACCCTACACAAGCCCCCTCTGAAAATATGTATATATTAAAAATTTAGACTGTTACAGGAATCTTTCTGCAAAATCATAGCATCATAGAATGGTTTGGGTTAAAGGGACCCTAAGTTCATCTAGTTCCAATCCCCTTGTCATGGGCAAGGACACCTTCCACTAGACCTGGTTGCTCAGAGCTCCATCCAGCCTGGCTTTGAAAACCTCCAGGGTTGGGGCATCCACAACCTCGCTGGGCAACTTGTTGCAGTGCCTCACCACTCTCACAGCAAAGAACTTTATCCTAATATCTAATCTAAACTTGCTTTCTTTTAGTTTGTTGCTCTTCCCCTTTGTCCTGTCACTACACGTTCTTATAAAAAGTCCCTCTCCGTCTTTCTCATAAGCTCCCTGCAGACACAAGAAGGCCACAAATAGATGATGATCTTTACAATAAGAAAGAGGAAATTTGACAGTGCCCCACCACAGCGAGCTCTGGGAAAGGTTTTTATGCCAGCCTGCTTCGCTAGGACTTCAGAAGGACTCCTGGCTGTGATGGAGGGAGAGGATGTCAGGACTGTTATTGAATTCCTGATTGTACTTTGAGCTGCTTTCCAACCTCTTGCACATTTTTGGCGCTTTAATGAACAGAAGATGTAGTCAGAGACTTGGCAGCAGCCTTGGAGCAGAGGGAGGCACTCACCTTCCTGACCTCCTTCTCTCTACCACCAAGCAATAATGTACTCTTTATTTGTCATGATGATGTTAATGTGCAAGCCTCAACCTTTTCCTCAGGGGCAGTTGAGGAATTATTATTTGGGACTTTGATATCAGCTGCTAAAATCACATGGGAAAGTTACTTAACTGACAAACCTGGCACTAGCAAGTTCAGAAAACAGAACTTTTTCTAAATACTGACATTATTATGAGCTTATGTTAAGAAGGGATATATACAACGGAATTTAAAACTTTTTACCTTGCAGAAGTGGAAAACAAGGGAAACTGCAATGAATTACTTAAAGGCTTCAAACAAAACCAAAGAATCTCCCTTAAAAATTCATCTACAGAGTGAGTTTAATGCCAGAGGAGAACCCCATGTTGTTTAGGGGGAGAGAGCCTCTGATACTCATCCTATCTTGATCAGTACTACTTCAGGGATCTCTGCCAAAAACCTCTGCAAGCAGTGTGCTCTGCTGTAGTGCAAACACACACCCTATTCAGCAGCAAGTGTTCAATCCTGTGCCTTCAACATCAACATGACCTCTTCCATTGGCTCAAACTGGAGAAAAATTGAGGTGAAAACCAGAAGTTTCCATAGCTTTTTCAGGAAAAATAGCAATGAAATCTTCTTCCCCAGCAAAGAATACTCAGACATCAGTACTAACAATATGAGGTCCACAGGCTCACTTATCA